CCCCCCCCCCCAATAACAGAGGTAGATGAATACATGTAATAATAATATAACAATAATACATATTGGTAATCACAGAGATAGAGGAATAAATATTACACAACAATTATACATAAAGACGGATATATAAATATATGTACAAGTACAATATTACAAAAATACATAATGAGAGATATTTGTAACAAAACAAAAAATTCACATTCAGTTAAAAGGCTGTTCAAATATAATCTTACACCTTTTTCGGGACTTTTTGACCCCCCCCCCCCGCAATATTACATTATTCGCTTATAACACTAATTTAGTAATCATGAGACATTTATATTGCACAAATCCGTGTTACAATCATTGCTCCATGTGCTTTACATAACATTCATGAAGAACAGGCAAATTATGTTCTGTGAAATATACAGATCGGCGCAACTGCGTGTTTTCACAATTGTATGATTGCGCTGCACATTTTAATTGTCGTATTATTCACTTCCATCTTTATTCTTTTGCTCACATAAAGGAACATTCACGTATATTTTCAAAAGTGCAAAAATATGAAAATTAAAATTAGATATGAAACTGAAGAGCTCACAAGAATGCTACAATTATATAATCGTTAAAACGCGCAGCGCAATCTTTAACTTGCCACGCAATTATACGATTGATAAAACGTGCAGCGCAATCTTAAGATCGGTAAATTGTGCAGAGCACATACACAGATATCATACATATGCACATAATAATATTATTTGTGCAGTTCTACATTGACTAAAAAAATAAGAGTAGATCATTCAAGCAAAATATTGCATACACTCTTTCTTACTAAATAAGGAAAAAATTGTCAATTTCAAAAGCACCTTAATTACAAAGAACAAATTACAGTGGAATTTGGGACCGAAAAAAAGTGTTGACTTTGAGCAAGGTTGACTTTATCCATTGTACTACTGGCAATTGAAAATTGAAGATGACAGCTGCAAAATTACAAAGTACCAGGTAACAAGGTGTTAGCTCAATTTCAGTGAGTATAATTCTGAAGATGTCACCAAGACATGAGATAATGAGTGAACAAAGTAATTGGAGGTAAGTACACCACTAGCTCAGGACCTAAACATCTCTTCTTAAATGAATTCATCTTGGGATTTAGCCCCAAATTGTTGACTTATGCAAGGTTCAGGTTAGTTTCACTCTCAAGCGGTTGACTGTACATGTATCAGAAACACAATTAAACAAAGAGGGTAAGAAACGGTACCACAGTGAGGTGTTGACTGTAAGCAAGAGTTGACTTTATCAGGATTCCACTGTATCTGTTATTACTAGACTGATCATTATGCTTAAAACAAAAATTGAAAATAGTTATCAACAAAGGCAGTGTTCTTCGTTATGTCAAAAACATTTTTTAAAACAGGGACATCAGCTGAGCTGTCTTCCAAATATGGGTCCTGTTCCAACTTCCTGCTCGGTCTCCTCTTCTCCCTCCACCTCCATTTCTTCCTGTGTAAAACCCTGTGCCTCTTCAATGCTGCAATACTTGGAAAATATTTTCCACATTCCTAGTGGCCTCTGCATACCATGCAGCCTTTCTAGACCAAGGAAACCCTTTTTTTTTCTTATCTTTTCTCCTAACAAAAGTGTAATATTACACTGGTTCAAGGCCACCCCCCCCCCTTTCTTACACTTTTCTACAGGAGCCAAAGACCCCCCACCCCCTTTCCAGGTGTAAGATTATATTTGAACAGCCCCTAACATTAAACATTTTCAGTTGGTAGGAAATTCTGAATTTGGCCCGGGTAGTGGTCGAAGCCTACTACTATCAATTTTAGACCCCCAAGGAATCTTAAACGTGCAAAAGTTGCACACAGGACCTCCGAGATTTTTCGCCCTTGTCCGAAAAAGCTAGGTGTAGATCTTTCCTTCCACAAGATCAGGGGTGTGGCTGAAACACAGCAGTAAGAACGAGCCAGGAAGTAGCAGTAGAAAGGCTGCTGAGAGAGTCAGGAGCCCAGAAGAGGCGGCAATGGAGGGGGGGGGGGGGGCAGAAAGGGAAAACAAAAGCAGATAACAGAACACTGCTGGAGAGCAGGAAAGGAGGTGAAAGGAGACAATTTTAGAGAAAAAAATGTGTCCACTGCTACCCGCATGCGAGACTGTGACCTTTGAATGAGAGGCGAACACCTTAACCTCTAGGCGATGAGAGCCCCCAGGTATATGTACAAGTACTGTATTAAAATCATACATAATGAGAGAGATATATATGTATAAGTACAATATTACAATCATACATAATGAGAGATAATAGTTTAAGTACAATATTACAATTATAATGAAAGAGATTGTACAAATACAATACAGTGGAATCCTGTTATAACGAGAGGGAGGGGACCGATATGAAACATCTGTTATAGCAGGATTCTCGTTAAAAAGGATCCAGTAATAAATTCAAAGGAAATAGTGCAGTAGACTGAATCTATGAGTCTGGTTGTCTGTTCGTTTCTTTTCGTAATCTCCCCTGACGATGATTTGGTTCAACATGATCTCAAGGTCTTATTTGATCAAAAATCGAATACGGTTTCTTTCTCTAGCGCTAGCGATGTTGACAGCTCCGCGCCGGCGATCAGAAATAAAGTTCTCTAGGCAAACTCGTCCGCTGTGTTGTCCCCCACCCCACCACACCCTGTGGTGCGTTCCGTCTGCTTGTGCATGCCACACATTCGCCCCATCCATCACAGTCACATCGTTGTGACCTCTCCATCCCCGCATCGGAGAAGTGAAAGGCGTGGTAGGCCTAGATAATCTAGACTAGGCTGGCCTATCACGCGATGCGTTCTGCTTGTTTGTGCATACCACAACCTCCCCACTCATTCTCTCCGCCTTCAGTGTTGGCACGCATGTGCTCTCCCATTCTTTGTTTCGCAAGATAACCAACAACTAGCGAAGTTTTGCAAGAATAAATGGCCTATGTGCTGTGCACAGCAATAGCAATATTCCGCTATAACCGACTGGCATGTTTGATTGCGCAATAGCAGTATTTTATTTACAAAGATAAAGAAGGGGAAAAAACGGGGTTTTAGAATAGTGTCTTTATAACAGACTTCTCGTTATTTCAGGACTCGTTATAAGTGGATTCCACTGTATTACAATAATACATAAAAAGAGATATATTTGTATAAGTACAATATTACAATAATACATAATAAGAGAGCTAATAGTATAAGTACAATAATACACAATGAAAGAGATAATAGATAAATAATATTTTTTATTACAATGATAGGCTTATATAAAAAAAAGAGATGAATAAAGAGAACCATCAAAAAGAGAAAAAATGTTCTATAATATCTTTCCTCAGTCTGTCCGGTGTTATCCCGCTTTGGTCCCCAGTCCTTTCAGACAGCGTTTAATTTCAGAAGAGAAGAGTGACTTCTGAAAGACAAAAAAAAAAAAAGATTGAGATATCCTTCTGGAAAAACACTGCATCTAGAGCAATAGTCCTCAATCCACATTCGACCCCAAAACATACATCAAAAACAATATACATATTACCCCCTAAGAAATATATACACCGTAGTCTCCGCCTAAACGCACGCCATACAAAAGCACGCTCCGCTCAAACGCACGCTTTTGTCATAATCAATTACGGTTTTCACTATATACTTTATAATTTAGACGTACAAACGCACAGTAACTTCTTTTAAACGCACGCTTCAATTCATGAAACATACCGACAAGCAAAAGCAGAGCTTGACAGGGGGAAATTTGCATACAATTAATTTCAGTCTTCAGACTGACCAGTAGAGGACAAAATTCCTCCAAGACATCTCTCCTCACTCTCCCATCCACCCGTCAAATCTTCCCCTTTCTCTTCTCCTCCCCATACCCCTCTGTCTGTCTGTCAGTCTGTCAGTCTGTCTGTCTGTCTGTCTGTCTGTCTGTCTGTCTGTCTGTCTGTCTGTCTGTCTGGAAAATCTCCTTTTATAGAACAAAGCATCTTCATGTGAAATTGGCAAGTATATGACCTGCTGGAGATCAAAATTCCCAGCCAGAATGCTGTGGTCAGCTTGAACCATCTTCTTGCAATCCTCCTTAAGTTCTCGCACCTTTTGTTTTTCTGCATCGTGCCTGTTGTAAATTTCCCTGAGTTAATTTTTCTGTGCTTCGTCCCCTTTTCAGAAAGAGTTGCAGAGTGAGAGTTGGTCCTTTTTAGGACTATGAAAGGCCAGGTTTTTCGTCTTGAAAACTCGTCTGAATGTGTGAAAACTTGGGATGTCATTGCATGGATTTTTTTTCACGAACATGTCGTACATTCTGGACAATGTGAGGTCTGGGTTGAGATACTCTATGCTGAAAGAGGCCCTACAGTAGTGCGATTCCACGCGTGGAAATCTGTCAATGTGTTGACTGGTTATCTCCCTGTTTTGTTCTTCTCTTGTCTTCATTTGCTTCGATTGCCTGCGCCATTGCTTGTCTTCTTCCACAATGCCGGTCTCCGTAATCTTTGACAAAACAACTCAGGCACATTTCTCTGAAATACCCAAGGTTGCCAGGAATGTGTTCCTAAACACTTTCAAGCGCTTTCCACTGACTGTGATGTAATAAGCATGCATTTTGCTGCGTCAAGCGTTTGGTTTCCTGACCTTGGGCTCTGTCATCTCAATATGCCACGCGATGAACTCTCGCTGCTTCTGCAGGTCAGCCAGTTTATAAAAGTCCAGAAATATTTCCCTCCTATCCGTTCATGAGATTCCAGAACACTGACGGCCAGCTCTCGCACATTCCATTCCAATGCAGCCCTTTCTCATTATTCGTGCTGGAACAACCTTTTTCATGTCGGTGCTCATGTACTCTTTACCAGATTGTCGTTTTCTTTTTGCATCGTTCTTCGAGTTGATTCTCTTCGCTTATTTGGCGATGCCTGGCGAGCTTACCCTTCAACTTCAAATGATTCTGGTAGCCGTTCGTTGCAACTCTGGGTCTCATCAGTCTCAAAATCATTGTGCGCTATGGATTCAGAGTTTGTTGATTGCCCTGTCTTTCCATGTTGACTACAAAATACTGGAATTTCTAGGAAATAGTCATTGCAGAGATGAACTAAACATCTGGTGCATGCCTCAAATACTTCAGTTTTGCATTTTTTTACTTCACTTTTGCCAGGTTTGAAAGATGGGTCTGTGTCCGAATCATCGAAGTCACCCAGGCCAAGAGACATGTCTTCATTCTCAGCCTCGTGTTGAATAGGAAATTCAATTGTCATTGTAGGCCTACATTTCAAAGTTTAGCTAACGGAATGTCATCTGCCAAAGTTGGAGTTACTTTCATTGAAATGCGAACTTGCCATTCACAAGAAGAATCCCGGATAGTCTGAGTACAAGCTAAAGAACAATTTAGGTTGAGTTTCTTTGTGTGTGTGTGTGTCTGTGTGTGTGTGTGTGCGTGTGTGTGTGTGTGTGTGTGTGTGTGTGTGTGTGTGTGTGTGTGTGTGTGTGTGTGTGTGTGTGTGTGTGTGTGTGTGTGTGTGTGTGTGTGTGTGTGTGTGTGTAAAATATGAAGATCCAGGAGCTACTTACATGATGGCTCACCTAGTCGACCTCTCTTCGGATCAATATAACAAAGTCTAAGTCCTGATGTTTTTATCACTTCTTTCAGTAGCATTGCCCTTTGGGGGGGGGGGGGGTGTCTAGATAGCGTCGCCTTCTAGGTAATGAGTGTAGAATATTACGCTTATAGAAAAACATATATAGCTGAGCAATATTCATGTGTATCGTTGGACAAAAGTAGATTTGATTTAAATTTGATCAAACCCAAGTTTGCTTTTTCTAATGGTTTCCAATAGTCAGCAGGCAAGCAGATCACGTTGAGTGTGACAGTAAGCTGCAAGCAACAGTAAACAAGTGTAGGCTAACAACACAACAAGGACCGCCTCATTTTCACTCTTGCACAAGCAGGATTCGCTGCAACACAGTGCGTGTACTCTGTGTTGTGTATCAGGCCTATTGCATCATTAGAGGAGGGCATAGTTTTACTATGATATTACGTTATATGGTCTTGGCCTATGCTAGAAAAAAAGAAAAAAGTGTTCCTGTCGCTCACACGAAGGGGGGTATCAAAGGTATACGTCCTTTCGTGCGAATAGAATTGATATAACTTTGTATCAATTTTTTGCACACGAAACGGCGTAAGCCTGTGTACGCCGTTTCGTCTGATTCGGCGGAGCTGAGTGTCAGCGTACGCCCTTTTTGATTTTTTACTGCTAGTACTGTAATTTTAAAGCTAAGGATACGTGTGAACATAGATCTGAAGCAGCGCTATCTACTAGTAATAACAACTCAAAACTGCCAAAATGTGGAATACACCCTTTCGTGTGGCAGGCGACGAATTGTGCGATTTAAAAAAACCCACAAAACTGTGTAAGTACACCGGCAGAGATGAACTTCTTGTATGTAATGAAAGTAATGACAGCTAACACATTCATTCTTAGTTTTTGTGTCGGACATATGCGCTGACACTTATGAACATAAAGAAATCAGAACATTGTCAGTAATTGCAAATGGTCATAGAAACGAAAATAAAAGCTGAAAAAGTCTGGTGCTGATTCTGTGTAACTGCAAAGCTATAAATTATTCTTATATCACAATCTCTGTTATTCAGTCAACTTACAAGACCTAGACTTAGCGTTGTAAGAAAAATAAGGAATTTAAGGAGGGTAACAGATACTGTTCATGTATTACATTGTAGATGGATTCTGGTTTGAACTTTTTCATAAAGAGATTTCCGGGTAATTTTTATAAATTTAGAGAAAATATGCAAATATTTACGATTATATTAGACACATAAAGTTGTATTTGGAGGAATTACTTCATAGCGAATTGTGTCCCAGATGGATAAAGAAACAAAATTACAGCTATCATTATAATATGCCCAGATATCATCTTTTCTGAGTATTAGCACCAATGTTACGTCGATCACGTTCCAAAAGTTCAACAGTGTTTGTTATGCTGCCGGGGTTTTTTTTAATTCAATTTTTTCATTCACACTTGTCCAAAAAATTTTACAATTTACCATTGCCAACTAAAAAAATTTTAACGAAATAACCAGAGAAGTTACAATATCCGTTCTTTTTTGGGTCTCAAGAGCAGAAATGCGTGCTTTCGATGCATTAAACGATAATTACAATAAATACAAGGATACACCTAAAACAGTACGTTGAAAAGTACAAAAAATTAAGTGAGCCCAGACAGAGTGGTGATAGGGAGATGACCCCCGTGACCTGACCCCCGTGACCCCAACGTGATAAGACGCTTGCCAGGGAACCCCCCGCGGCAACTAAAATTCCACTGCCGGTGTGCCGTGCACAATTTACCAACTTTGTCCAGTCAGTATTAACATAATTATTCGTTGATGCCATCTTGCCCCTTCTCAACTACACTACCAAACCTAGTGATAGATTACACAATCTGCCTTGACAAAATCTTCTGGCTATCCATAAGGTTCGATCTGAGTCGATGTTTGCAAAGCTGTTTTGACAAAGGCCATGGTCGTGTGGGTCGCGCCGCCTTCTCGTCTGGTGAACACCTCAATAAGTCGTTGAATCTACTTGATTCAACCATCCATTCCCAACCAGACCATAAAACTGATTTTCTGAATGATTGAAACACTTTGCAGTAATCTTTCAAACTTGGGATTTTAACAAAAGGTGTATCAAAGACTGTAATTAATAAAGGAATCAACAGTGATTTTAAAAATTTTTTTCTCTTAGGCGGTTGATTCATGAGGCTTGAGTGAATCAGAGAGACAGAGAGAGGTAGATAGATAGAGAAAGAGACAGACAGAGGGAGAGGGGGAAATCGAAAGAGAGATCGAGAAGGACATGATCTAGAGTCCTCGTGTTCACCTCCTCTTCTGTCATCCTCTGAACAATGCTGGTGTCTTCCAAGATCTTCATCATGCTCACAGAGGACTCCTCCCAGCTGCTATTTTCTTTGTCTGTGTTGGCCTCTTGTTTGCCTCCAACTAGTGGTGAGAAGATCAAATAAATAGCAACAGCTGCTTTGTAACAAAAGTTTGTCATCATCATCGTCACTATCATCAAGAGGTAGAAGAGGAAGAAAAAGAAAAAGAATATGAAAAAGAATAATAACAATAACAATAACAACAAGAACAATGACAATAACAATAACAACAACGACTGATAATAATTTCAAGCCGGTATAGGCACAATGCAAAAGGTCAAAATAAATAATTAAGAAAATTAACAGAAATAAAACTTCAGTTCAAAGCTGTACCACTCACCTGGCTTAGAAACTGTGCTCCCGATTTTGAAGTATTTCTTTTTGATTTCCATCTGTTTGTGGGAGAAAAAGAAAGCCAACAAATAAATTAATAGTCATGAAAAAAGAGGGAAGATACAATATGGGTTGTTCGATTTTATTACTGAAAAAAAAAATAAGTCAGAAAGAAACAACTTAATTTATTTTACTTGTTCTGCTCTCTTATACTACAAGGTGTCAAGGGGAGATGTAATAAATATTGTATGGCGAGGGCAAAGCATGTTTCTTGTTGGATTGTCATAATATTGTGGGAAATACGTAACTAAGAGAGAAAAAAACGCCAACAACAACAAAAACTGTATAGGATGCCTAGTTTCACCTTCCAATCAACCAGAATGAATAACAATTATACAAGAAGATTTTCCAAGAGTATTCAAACAACTACAAAAAAATGTTGAGATTGTCATCTATGGATGTCTCATCATTTTCTTTAGCTCTTTATGTCAGCTTTGTTGTGATTTTGTAGAAAGGGTTAGATGCTTAGAAGCAAGAAACTTTGTCCAATCACAGAAGATATGTTCTTTAAATTCCTCTTATATTGCGTTGGTGGGGGTGTAAATAGATAAGGAGAGGGACAGTAAAAGATATCAGTATTGGTGTACAGCGATGATGTAAGGGGGAGAAATAGGGAGAGAAAGAAAGAAAGAAAGAAAGAAAGAAAGAAAGAAAGAAAGAAAGAAAGAAAGAAAGAAAGAAAGGGAGAGGGAAAAAAGGTAAATGGAGATAGAAAGATTGAGAAAGAGATAGAGAGAAAGAAACAGTAAGAGAGAGAAGAGAGAAAGGAGAGAAGGGACAAAGGAAATAGAGCAAAAGACAAAATAAAAGATATATTAAATGATGATGGGGGAGAGAAGCAAGAGAGAGAGAGAGAGAGAGAGAGAGAGAGAGAGAGAGAGAGAGAGAGAGAGACAGAGAGAGAGAGAGAGAGAGAGAGAGAGAGAGAGTATCGTCTTATTCTCCCACTGACCCATTTTTTCTTGACCGCAGGCACAGTGTACAGGACCGGGTTGAGAGCAGAGTTGATTGGTACCACCAGAACCGCTGACCACGCGTATGTTTCATTGGAGATCTCTTGACCATTCAGGGCCATCAGACCTGGATGTCCAGGGTGTAAGGGGTTGGGGGAAGGGGGATTATTAGCCCATCATTTTTTTTAAAATAACGCATCAACACCATATCGGTTATTTAGTACAGCGAAAATGTACTATAGAAAGAAAGAAACAGCAGATCTTAATAATAATAACAACAACAATAATAATATTAATAAAAATGTTTCACGAGGCAGTGGGGTCAGGTGCTCGTCAATTTTAGGGCATATGGAGTTATTGGTATCATCTTAAAAGTTGTTCATTTGCCTTGCTTTCAATGAAAACAAAAAATGTTGATTTATTTTCAATAGAATTCAAGACATTAGGGATTGAAGGAGGTGGGGTTGCGGGGTTTCAGAAGTAAAATTAGCGGAAAAATGGCCGCCGAAGTTTGGTCCTTGGAAACTGCAAATTTAAATTTTCGTGCCTTTAATCGACGTTTTTTCCATAAAATCCCATGAAAGTGTTGTTGAATAGACATACAAAGTCTTGAGCCAAAAGACAAAAATTAGAAAAAAAATGACCAAACTGGCGGAAAAATGCCAATTTCTCCGATTTCATTATTTTGTCAAGTGTCAGATTTTACCACGATGCCAGATCACGAATCATAATGATGATAATAATTATAACAGTAATAATAATAATAATAAAAATAATTGTGGACATCTACGCTTAACAGCATGCTCTATGCACCTAGCAACTATAATTACCTCAACAAATGTAACAAAACTCAGACATATATGAGCTTCCCTTGAAGCATCCACATGAAAACAAACGAAATACTTCCTACCAGCGGCTTGCACTGGCTTCCCCAACCAGCCGTTAGGGTAAATAATTTTGTGCATTGTTATTTAAAAGAAAGGAGAATTAAGAAAATATCAGGGGAACTTCATCCCATAACGGTTAACACTGAAAACAACACATAGATGTACAGAAACAATAAGACTATTAATATCACAAAAACTGCCCCCAAAGCAGCACCTATGAAGCACAACAATAACAACAACAACAACAACCTCTCACCCATAACTCCGATGGGGAACCAGCACAAAAAGTCAGTGAGTGCGATAAGCGACAGCTGTCTGGCTATGGCGAAGTCTTCCTTAAACTTTCGCTCGGCCTGACGGCTACATTTTGAGATGAGCTCAGAACTGGACTCAGATTTTGTCCTGGAACAACCGAAAACATTTGTGTCAAGACGCGGTGGAATCAATTTTTGGACCTGAGGAGTTATTTCTATCATTTTAAAGCTTGTTCATTTGTCCTTCTTTCCGTGAAAAACATACTTATCTATCATGAATAGAAGTTGAGATATTTGCGGTTAAAGGAGGTAGAGGTCACCTGGTTTCCAAGGTAAAATTAGCGAAAAAATGGACACCAAAGTTTGACGACTTCCATAGCTTGAGAGTCCTTAGAAACTACATTTTTGTGCATTAAATCAACATTTTTCAGTAAAATCCAAACAGAAAAGTGTTTTTAAATGTACCTTACAAGGAGTTGAAATAAAAAAACAAAATTCAATAAAAAATTGTCAGAAAAGCGCCAGTTTCTTCAACCTCATTATTTTGACTAGTAGCTGATTTCACCACGATGCCTCACATTTGTGAGGTATTTTTAACATTCGGATAATGGGGATGTCAGCTGAAGATGACACAGAGATTTGTAGATTTTCAACTGATTATAGTTTCTTCTAGTTTAACATGTCTATTATTATCTATTTCATATCTATAAACTATATAAACTCAACCATCAAATTTGATGTAATTATGATGTCATTTAGATAAAATCCGAGAAGTAACTCATTTTGTCAGTATCCTTCAAATTAAAATTAACGAGTTTAGTTTGAATGATAAACTGAAGGTGGTGGCGATGGATTGAACATACTCTCCGTAAGCCAGGCAGCTGTATAACGAAGAAAGTGTTGGATTGGAGCCCATAGGGCAAGAGATCAAAGGTAAAGCCACATGTAACCATTCGAAGAGTCACAGAGAATGAGGTGCAGAACAGTGGGATCACATAGAATAACCTCAACAGACTATCCCTGGATAGGGAAAAGTGGAAAGTGTTAGTTAATGGTCTCTACCCTGATGCAGGGTGAGAAAGGCAGTGATGGTGATGAATAGTGAGGAGGGGAAGTGCGGGATATGGTCGCAACGAATTTCATCCCCCATCCCTCAAAAAAAAAAATCTTTAAGATAATGCCAAATTAGCAAAACCAAGCTTTTACCGCAACAAGTAAAAACAACTGCTTCGTTAGAATCATCAAGATGTATGAACAGTCTGAGTTCACGTCTATTTTTATAGTCAAACCAGAGAACACGAGACATTCTTTTGCTAGGCAGTGGTGGGTTTATCCTGATTGTGCATCTGTCTACTAGTTTAGTTTAGTAAAAGTTGCAACACAATTAGATCATATGAGTTTAGTAGATTGGAGGTGTTACAAAAGAGTAACAAACAGAAAACAAGAAGGAGGAGACGTAAGGATGATAAACATTTGATTGAAAAGAAGGTGCAAACATGTATATCTGTCTTTGAAGTAGAATAAGCTCCTGCCAATCCAGTTGGACCATTTTAACACAAGAAACAAACTAAACTAAAGAAACGCAAATAAACTTCAAAGCCCAGCAGGTACCTGTAAATGACAAACTGTCCGGCAGCGATGAGAAGAAAAAGGAAGAAGTTGAGAGCCACAAAGACAGTGACGGAGTAGATCCATCCAGGCAGTCTATCTGTGGTCAGTGGTAGGCCCAAGCACATGCCGCTTGTGCTGAACACGGTCCAGTGTTGGAACGGTGGGAGGAGAGGCAACATGGCGATCAACAGGCCCACCAGCTGGGGGGGGGGAGGGGGGGGAAAGAGAGATTGGTGATTGGGAACAGGGAAATTGGGGACACGGGAAAGGGGTGAGCAGAAGTAGTGGAGGTTGGTTGAGTTTGGAGTTGGAGCTAAGAGAACCATGTCAACACAATGACACTGCCATTAAAAGTTGGGACAAAGCACAACAGACAGGCAAAAACTGTAGGGGGAAAGTAAAGAAATAGGACCTACCAAGGGCACCATCAAAACCATGCAGGGTGCGGCTGCTACCAAAAAGGTCCACAGAAACAGAGGTAAGTTTGCAGGGTGGGAGTGTGAAAAGAATGATGGTGAGTAGATTTGAGTGAAGAGGGAATTGCTAGATCAAGTTATACTTAGTCTTTTTTTTTTTTATTAGTTATTTTTTTTAATGGTAGAAAGAAGATTCAATTGAAACTAAGACGAAGCTTGGTGAAGGAGAGTGATTCAAAATTCTGAGGAAGATTATTTGACTTTACGATATTTAAGGACTTTTCAGAGATGGACGTTGAATTCGGCAACAGCACCTCACAGGCAGCTTTCAGTCTTTTGCTTGAGTTCAAAGAAGCATATCAATACAATAAAGCGACTACGAAATTGAAAGAAAAATGGGCAGAAAGAGTAACAAGGAAAATAGAAGCAGGGCATACAACCAATGCCCTCCAACAATCAGTGCTTAAATACCTGCGTCTGTGATGTAGCAGTTAAGTGATTCTCTGTGCCATGCAGAAGACCCAAGTTTGATTTCCAAGTGTTTGAAATTTTCATCAAGCACTTCGGTCTTTCTCCTGGGATGTTGTGCATCACTTTCAGCCTGGGTTGGCTCTGCCACATAGGGTCAGAGACCACATCCTAAAGGATCTAAACTGAGTTGATGGGGGTGTACAAACATCTACTTGAATTAGTGCTGAAAAGGGTGTTATAACTTAAGATAAGATAAATCCTTATTGTCCAGATCCTGGCACATTGGTTTGGTGTTTCACACACACACACACACACACACACAAACATTCATACAAATGCAGTATGCTTGTACTCACAAATAAGCTTACAGTCACTTGAATAATATAAATGAACAGTAATATAAACAATAAAAATGTTCATCTAGAAACATACTCAGTATTCTGATTGCAACTCCATGGTATTCTGATGCACACTCTTGTCGCGATGCCGGCACACCAAACTATTCGCACTGCACCCCAAACTGCTTGCACTGCCACACACCAAAAAGAGACATGTTTTATGAAACGACTTCCAACAGTGCTAGAAGACCAACTCGTTCAATGTCTTAGCAGAGTGAACTCGACTCAACTTAATTTGTCTGTTGGTTCCTTGCCACACTCTAAGGTCATACAAATACTTATAACAAGGTGATTAATATGGAAGAAAAAACCATACCCAAGTGAGGACACACAGGACTTTAGCGGCGCGAGGCGTGATGCGGATTTGTCCAAATGGAAACTTGATGACCAGGAAACGGTCCACGGTGATGAGGAAGATGAAGATGGCGGACGTCTCGCTGGGGAGACACACACACGTCACAGTGGGTAGAAGGTACCAAAATATTATAGGTTAATAAATACGTCATTCAAGATCTGAGGCATTCTGTTAGAAAAGATTCAAACTAACATGTCACAGTGAGTAGAATGAACCATATGTGAGGCATTGTGATGAAACTAGGCGCTTGTCTAAATAATGAAATCAAATACAATAGCAATTTTCTTCCTGCTTAGCCATTTTTATCGAATTTCAGTTTTTTTACTCAACACCTTTAAAGTCAATATAAAAACACATTTCAGGGTGGATTTTTACTTAAAAACATTGGTTACAGGTACAACAAATTCTAAATTTTCAGTTTCCAAGGACTCACCACACTTTGGTGGCCATTTTCCTGCTAATTTTACCTCTGAAACAAGGCGACCCCGACCTCCTTCAATTGAAAATATGTCGACTTTTATTCAAGATAGATTGGTACGTTTTTCCCTCCAAAGCATGGTAAATGAACAGGCTTTAAAATGAAACCAATAACTCTACATGCCCAAAAATTGATGAGCGCCTGATTCCACAGCGATGTGACACACATTTAATTTAGTGACAATATTATGGGTTATTTGTAAGTAAGATGGAGACTTTCTGATACAAAACATTTGAAATTATACATTCTCCCAAACCATCCTCTCTCTCTCTGTCTGTTTGTCTGTCTGTCTGCCCCCCCCCCCCTCTCTCTCTCCAACTCTGTCTCTATTTATCTCTATCTCTCTCTCTTTCTTCTCTGTCCCCACCCCCTCTTTCATCTTTCCATCTCTTCCTTCTATATACCAATACTGCAGGAGCTCCATTAGCCATGTTGGTATCATGCTGGACTATGGAGCGGATGACCCTGGTTCAAAATCAAGGCTGGGCGTTCTGGAACAATGGTCTTTTTGTGGAGTTTTAAAGGCTCAACCTATTTGACTCTGTCCAATCGGAGACGAATTTTGAATTTGGAGGTCCTGATTCTTAACTCATTCGCTACACTGAGCCGTTGGGGGCGGCGTGGCTAAAGTGTCGTCAGTACGCTAAGCCGCCCCCGGCGGCTTGAGAACCAATCTTCAATGTTAGCTTAGATTCTATTCCAATCCACATATCCATGTTGAATTAAGGTAGTAATATAATGTTGACTTCCGGATCTAGCGTTTCCATCGAAAGTCAGAAGTTTTGATGCAGTTTTGAAACACAATTTTGAAGTTTATGCGACTTTGTTTTATCGCGATGCTCAAATTATAGCCCAGACCCAAGTCTTACTACTTTTACACAACAAAATATATCATTATTTTGCACGCTAAAGAAATCTAGGACTATTCTTTAGAATATTGATTCTATTGGGTTCAAATTGCCATTGCTCTGTTATTGAGAAATCAATATTTTTCAGTGCTAGATCTAGATCTAGAGATCTAAATAATCCAAAAATCACTATTTTTTGGTGAATTTACACAAAAAGTACCACTCAAGACATGTGTAGGTTTACTCCCAATGCAATTCTGAATAATTCCATATACGATACGAGTGTTTTTTTTCTTTTTGTCAATGCATCTTGTCCATTTTTCCAGATAATAACATTTTTGAGGGGTTTTTTTTCAATATCGGATGTCTTGATCCTAATGTGCAAATTTTATGGAATGTATATATAAATAGCTGCAAATTTTTCAATATTTTCCAGTTCTATATTCATTTATGGTTATTTTGAGGTATCATTTGACTAGGTGCAAACATACTTTTTGAGTTTCTCGGAAGATGATTAATTTTTTATTTTCAAATTCTATCCGCATCCAAGCAAAATTGTGTTGCATAATCGCCTCTTACAGGAACCAAAGTTGAAAAATGCACAAATAAACATTACAGATGTATTCTGCAAATCAAATCATACTGAAAATTTTGCTGCATAATAAGTTAATATTTATTTGAATTTGTGGACCCAAAGACTTGGAACTGTGCACTAGTCACCATCTCATTTCGCCTTCACGAAAAAAATTCGTCCACAAGACGAAAATAATACGTAGCGAATGAGTAAACACCTTCGGGACCGACCCCACACCAGCTGATCCTATCCCCAGGACTGGAGCCATCGCCCACATCCCTTGTAAATACCCGTTTCGAAGACATTTGTTCACTTCTAATCAGCTTAAACTGGCTTCAACTTTGGTGAATTGGAAAGGGAAAGAACTCTTCGGTGCTGGAACAAGCAGATGGAAAACAAGGATAATTTTGAATAAACCTAGACTGGCGTGAATGAGTGGTATTGCCATTACGTAAATACACGTCGGTGGTCCGATTTGGTCGGGCGCAGTTTGCGTATAAGTACGTCGGGGGTCCTGGAGGCATTAAATATCTTGTAAGTGTTGATAGGGGCATTAAATCTACACCGACTCAACTATCCCTCCTAGCTTGCGAATGCAAACACTCTTATTTGTGGGTGGTTGGTGAGTGCTCAGGTGTGATTTGCTGCTTCTTTCCTATCAAACATCTATCGTCCTTATCTCTCCTTCTTCTATTTTATGTTTGTAACCCTGTTGTAACCCCTCTAAGCATCCACATTTGTATGACGTAATTGTGCTGCAAGCCTCCTATAACTTCTACTAAAAGAAAACAAAAAAAACCCCACTCTTACCTGGACCAGGTAGATATCAACCCGGCTATCTTGCAGGTAACTCCATGTCTCCAGGCCCTCTCATGCCACACATAATCACCTCTGAAAACGACGTCAGCAATAGCTACTATCATGAGGTAGATTCCCATCAGTAAGTCAGATATACCTGGAAGTGGAAGGTAAGTTGTGTAAAACTCGGGTAAAATTTTTTAAGAGTGGTTACTCCCCCCCCCCCTCCACAAACACATAACATCTTTGAAAAACCTTTAATAAAAACTTTGGTACGCCACAACTAAAATTTCTGGTACATCACACGTAAAAACTCTGGTACACTTCAAATAAAATCTCTGTTGCACCCAAAGTAAAATTTCCGATACACCACAAATAAAAAGCCCAGCAAAAAAGTAACTCTTGTGGTCGCTTGGTTGAGAAACCAAAGTGCACTTAGTTTAAGGACAGGTTTCATGTTTGAGTAAAGCAAAGCCCATTGACAAAATAATGGTCATTTGGCGCAGGTAATAGTAAAAAATAAACGGAACAACAAGGGGGACAAAAGAAGTAGGATGTACAAGAGGCGCCATCCAAGTGCCCACCTTGAAAGTTTTTCTTCCAGAGGTTGATAGTGTCTCAGAGAGGAAAAAAAAAATCCCTATATTTTTTTCAGAAGAGATTTATGCGACCTTAAAGTAATTGATGTTCCACAAACGTATGTAGTGCAGCCGTTAGGCTATCATACGCAGAATAAGCGAGTTCACTTCATGAGAAGGGAGAACATTTTCATTGAGTATTTCTGTCTTTCTGTCGGGATGTTGTATCCCTCTCAGCCGGGGTTGGCCATGACATACAATGTCTGAAACCCACTTCATAATTTTTTTATTTTTTTTTTTGGTAAGTGTTTTACTAGGATTTTTTATGTGCACAACTTGCACACGGGGCCTCCGAGATTTTTCGCCCTTGTCCAAGAAGGCTAGGTGCAGATTTTTCCTACCAGAAGATCAGGGGTGTGGCTGAAAGACAGCATGTAATATTGTTCGGTTTGTGGGTACAAACAGATATATAGAGAGAGTGAAGAAACACACATCTGAAAAGGCTCTTTGTTTTATTCTTGTCTTCTAGTACACTGTAACCGAAAAGTGACTACTGAGTAGGAGAAAGGTACTGTCTAAATCCCGATACATTACCTAACAGCTATAACAGAAGAGTTATGTAATGTACATTATTCCACATAAATGATCTTAAAAATATTGATGGGGGAGTAAAAACACCTACATTAAAACAAAATAGAATAAATACAATTTTTTTAAACCTCGATGAAGTATATCTCCACGGGTTTGTCAATAGCTGCCTAGAAGTCTTGTTGCCATGATGGAAAAACATGAAAACTTTTTGGACATGTCTGGCCACACTTACAGTAATAATATTTAAAAAGACAAGTTAAACAAAATATGTTTAAAGTAGGGGGAAGGAATAAATCTATCCATCTAGAAAAACAGGCTGCGTAGAAATAGAGCAGGACTGACGGATAAGAATAAATTAGTAGGCAGGGTTTATAAACAGAAAACCAAAAACCCCCCAGATCAGACAGATAGACAGACAGACAAACAGACAGACAGACAGACAAACAAACAGACATACAGATAGACAAAGAACAGAGTTATAGACGAGACAGACAAGCAGACAGACAAACAAACAACTTACAGAGGTTCAGGACGAACATTCCATAACCCTTTTTGAGTTGGCCTCTGTCCCATAGGAGCCTGTACACAAGGACCACCATGTTGCCAAGTAGGGCGGACACACCCACCACCCACAGCAACCCTCGTAGCAGCGGCTCTTGCATCAGGTCTGAAATTTTTTTTAAATTAATAAATTAAATAAATATTTTTAAAAAGAACAAAAAGAGACCATAATAAGTCAAAATAACGGTCGTACAGAGCCAGGCCTTTATTATTATTGTTTCATACCCCTACTGACACAATTTAGATGCCGGCGGTTGGCATGTGCTCTGGTGTGGTTTGCTCATTCTTTCCTATCAAACAGCTATGGTCTTTAACTCTGTCCTCCTTTTTTTTTTTTACTCTCTTGTAACACCTCTAATCTTTGGCAGGTACGTGACCTTATTGTATTTCAAACACCACACTCTTTCTAAGAGTAAAATTAAACAAATTAGACAATTTAGCAGGAGGGAGATATTTGACACAAGTTCTCTCCCCCATCCATCTTCTTTTGTCCCATTTTTTAAAAACTTTTATGTGCTTCC